CCGCCCCCACGTGTGGGATGCTGAGAAGGTTCCGGTCGTAGGACTGCACCAAGGTCGACTCGCCACCGTACGCGGAGTCTGTCCCGAGGAGCGCGCGGACGGCTCCCTCGGAGCCGTAGTCACCTTGCGGCGGCTCGGCTGCGTCATGCACTGAACGAATGAATTGGATGGCCTCTCGCTGACGCAGCGAGGGCGGGGAAGATGATGGCGTCAAATGGCCATCGAGAGCATTGAAGGCCTTGATCGTACGATTGACCTCGGCGTCCACAGCACTCCGCTTCAAAACTCGTCGCTGCACCGAGCGACTCACGCTGTGATCTTGAAGATGTTCGACCTCGAGCTCAGGAAGAGGGAAGAGGTCACGGGGAACTTGTACAGGTAGGCGAGACCCCTTCTCATACTTGAACCCAGCCGCCGGAGTCTCCAAGGGAGCGACTGGGTCCTGCGAGCTGGTCATGACCCCCCTGCGCCGGAGCCGCCGGCGCCCCCGTCTCCTTCTCCGCCGCCCTTACCACCACGGCCACGACCCTTCGGCTTCCGGAGGCGGATCTCCTCCTCGAGCTTGCGACCCTCCTTCAGGACCGCTGCCCGATCTCGTGCTGCGTCGGCGGCCCGCCTCTTGATAGACGGCGCCACCAGGGCGGCGCCACGCTGGACGCCCCAGCCCATGAAGTCGTCCGAATTGCTGTAGTCGGGGTTGCTGGGGTTGTACACGTGGGCCTGCTCGATGAGCTGCAGGCGCCGCCCTAGCAGCTCGAAGGAAGTCAAAGTCATCGTGTTCAATTGATCCAGCTCGATCGCGAGGTCGAAGACCTTGGAAATCACGAAATGCTCGTGGATGCTGCGGTCGCCGCTCGGGATGCCGCTGGCTGACAGCCATGTGTGGTGGCGCGTCACCATCCCCTCGGAGGACTGGGCCACTTCGGTGAGCAGCCAAGGAAGGCTCACATCACCCTGCAACGGCGAGTCGCCGAAGTCGTGGAACTCCTGGAGCGAGACGGCCTCGCGGAAGTTGCGGCCACGCTGTTGGGCCGACCTCCACTTCACCGGGATGACTCTCGCGTCGGTCTCCTGATCTCGGAGCAGCTTGATCATACCCGTGTCTTGACGCAATACCTCCTGCAGTATCAAACACTTGGCTCCTCGCTTGACCAACCAGTAGGCGCCCAGGCCGATCGTGATATCGCCTGGGACGTGGATGTACTCCTTCTCCGCCTCCGGGTCACCGTCGGCCGAGGACCCGATCACCCAGATGACACGTCCAGCTGCTGGCGCTGGAGGGGGACCCTCGCGAACAGCACCTGCCTCTGGGTCCAGCGCATGTTGCTCCACCCTAGCGTCAGAGATCGCCCTCATCACCAATAGCGGGGTAGGAGGTCCAGCTGAGCGGTCGGCACGGAACCCGTGGGTGTTGGCCGCCACTGGAGGAGGAAGCGGACGCACTTGCAGCTGAAGATGGGGCACCTCCGCGTCGTCGTAGTACGCGATACCCTCCAGTGGCGGCGCCGCCAGCTCCTCCGGGTACACGTCCCCGTCCGGGGTGAGCACCCACCAGACCATGCCCCCATTGTACAGGGACTCGCCCGTGCACTTCTGCATCGCCGTCTCCGAGCCGGGCTCGAGGAGGACCCGCTCGTGCCACTTCGGCGGTGGCGCCGGGAGCGGCTCCGGCTGGTAAAACAGGCTGACCTTCCGACCTGCCTCGAGGGTGATCGCCGCCATCAAGCCGAGCATCCAACCGATGTTCTCCAGACACCACGCGCACCCTGCAGCGCGCACAGCGCGAAACGACCTTCACGAAGTACACGCTCGCAACTCCTGTGAACACCCCCAGGCCGAAGCCGGCCGACGTGAAGAACTGAGTGGGGTCGACGCCCGTCAAGCACGAATAGGCCGCCGAGCCTATGGCGCGGCGACAGCTGGGCTCGCCAGCGATGGAAACTGAGCTGGAGGCGAGCCAGGCGACGCCTGAATGCATCGAGGACGGGCTCCTCAAAGCAGCGTGACTTGAGCCGTAATCATTACGGACAAGTGGCACCTCACAAAGCCTCTAGACCCAAATCTACAAGTAGTGCAATCATTATCGTCGTCTTCATCATCCTCATCATCATCATCATCAGCAGCAGAAGCAGCAGCAGCAACAGCATCAGCATCATCATCATCATCATCATCATCATCATCATCATCATCATCATCATCATCATCATCATCATTGTCATCGCCATCATCATCAAAATCGGCATCAGCATCAGCATCAACATCATCATCGTCATCACCATCGTCAGCATCATCATGATCATGTTGGTCATCAGCATCATCATCATCAGCAGCAGCAACAGCATCATCATCGTCGTCATCATCATCAGCAGCATCATCATCACCAGAAGCATGATCCTCATCAGCAGCAGCATCGTCAGCATCATCATCATCATCATCATCACAACCATCATCATCACCAACAACAGCGTCGTTATCATCATCAGCATCATGATCATGATCATCATCAATGTCAGCATCATCATAATCGTCATTAGCAACATGACCAGCATCATCATCAGCATCATCAGTATCATCATCAACATAAGCACCATCAGCATCATCATCGTCGTCGGCGTCATCATCATCACCACCACCATCATCATCATTATCCTCCTCCTCATCATCATCATCATTATGATCATCATCACTACCACCACAATCATCATCATCATCAGCATCATCATCTTCGTTATCACGACAACCAACATCATCATCATCATCATCATCATCATCATCATCATCACCACCATCACTGCCATCATCACCACCATCATGACCGTCACCATCACAAGTCCCAGCATCATCACCACCACAACACAGAAATCGCTATCGCGAGCAGCGGCTCCGCGAGCGCGCGCGCGCGCGCGCGCGGCGCGCGGCGGTTGCCTTGGCAGTCCGGGTCTTGCTCTGCGCCGCCACCGAGGCTTCCGCCAAGGGCGGCGGCGGCGTCCTCGCGCAGGAAACGCGCGCGCCCGGTGGGGGCCTCCCGCTCGCTCCCTCCGCTCTCATCTCTCTCTCCTTCACCTCCCCCGCCTCGTCTTCCTCCTCCTCCTCGTATTCCTCCTCTTCCTCCTCCTCCTCCTTCACCTCCTCTCCCTCGTCCCCCCATCCCCCATCCACCTCCTGCTTTCCCTCACTCGTCAAGAACTCCTCCCTGTAACATCCCCGGACGTGTCCGTAGGGCGGGCTGGGCGATTCGCGGGACTTCCTCAGCATTTACGACCATGAAGCTTGAAATGTGCAACAATTTCACGGATGGAGGGCGGGCCGTTTTCAAAATGTGACTCTCGCCTTAGCGTCGCGTGCCAAGCATCCGTCTTAAAAAATTACGAGAGAGTCACGAATTGAGGGCAGCTCCTTTTTAAACTGTAGATCTCGCCTTAGCGCCGTGAACATCTGTCTCAGAAGATCACAATGGCTTCACGGATGGAGGGCAACTCATTTTTGAAAGTTGGCTCTCGCCTTAGCGCCGCGCGCAGCCGTCATAGAAGTTTGCGAGGTTTTCACTGATGTAGAGCTGTACCTTTTCAAGATGTGACTCTCGCATTAGCACCGTGCACATTCGTCTCAAAAACGCAAAACACTTCCAAATATTATAATGGATGACGTCCCAAGGATTGCGTTCTGGTACGATTTACGGTTCTCCGGGCGCATTAGTCAGGTTGATTCGCCGTGCTAAGCTCCCAAGAGTTGTGATCTGGCACGATTCAAGATCGTCGAAACGTCACAGTAGAGCTGCGTCGCGGCGTGGAATTCCCAGGAATTGTCTCGTGGCACGATTGAGGACTCTCAGACGGTTGCCTTCCAACGACGAACTTGCCGCAGTGAAGATTCATTCTTGTAGTGAACTAAAAACTCTGAAGAGGGAACTTGAAGGGAGGATTGATTACAACGTCGTTGATGCGCCGTTGGTTTACACTGGCCTTCCAACGCTTCCTCCTCCTCCTCGTCCTCCTCATCCTCCGCCTCATCTTCCTGTGGCTGAGGCTGCAGGCATCAGAGTCCACAGTGACCATGCCATCACCTCCTCACCTCCTCCTCCTCCTTCCCCGACTCCTCCTCTGCCTCCTCCTCCTCATTCTCTTCCTCCTCCTCCTCGTAATATGATTGTTGATATGTTTCGTTTTCTTATTATGATGATTAGTACTCCTACTATTTCGTATTATTCTCGTGAATGTGATTATTCGCCTGATTATTCTTTAGTTGCATCACTATTATCCGTCGTGCTTGTATTAGGTGTTGTCTTCGTCTTCGTTTGTATATTCGTCTTACTACTCTCAAAAATATCATTATCACTATTGGTCGTCTTCTTCTTTTTCTTCGTCGTCTTCTCATTCGTATGCTTACAAGTGATATGCTTATTATTATGTTTGTTCCTGATATTATGCTCCTCCTCCTCCTCCTCCTCCTCCTCCTCCTCCCCTTCCTCTTCCTCTTCCTCCTCCTCCTCCTCCTCCTCCGCCTCCTCCTCCTCCTCCTCCGCCGCCTCCCTCCTGCTCCTGCTCCTCCTCCCATCCTCCTCATCCTCCTCCTCCTCCTCCTCCTCCTCCTCCCCTTCCTCCTCCTCCTGCTCCTCCTCCTCCTCCTCCTCATCCTCATCATCATCATCATCATCCCGATCCCCATCCTCATCCTCCGCCTCCTCCTGTGGCTGAGGCTGCAGGCATCACAGTCCCTAGTGACCATGCCATCATCTCCTCCTCCTCCTCCTCCTCCTCCTCCTCCTCCTCCTCCTCCTCCTCCTCTGCCTCCTCCGCCTCCTTTTCCTCCTTTTCCTCCTCCGCCTCCTCCTCCTCCTGCCTCCTCCTCCTCCTCCTCCTCCTCCCCGCCTCCTCCTCCTCCTTTGCCTCCTCCTCCTCTCCCTCCTCCTCCTCCTCCTCCTCCTCCTCCTCCTCCTCCTCCTCCTCCTCCTCCTGCATTTCTGCATTCTGCATGTCTCGCCCGCTGGGCGCCCAACCGCTTTTGGGCTCGCTCGAGTGCGCGCGGGCGGCGGTGGGCGCGCGCGGGCCGGCCCACGCCAGGGAGCGGAGGAGAGCGCAGCAGGGTGGCAGGCGGCATGCAACAGCTCGGCGGCGAGCGAAGGGGGAAAATGAGAAGGAGAAGGCCCCCTCTCAGAAGGCGGCGAGACTTCTCAGAAGCCCTCGCGCATTCTGGGAGGCTTTCTGTGTCTTCGGGGAAGGCTCAGCAAACTTCTCAGAAGGCCGGGGGACTTCCCGAACCTTCTGAGAAGGTCTTCTCCTTCTCATTTCCCCCCCTCGCTCGCCGCCGAACAGCGGGAGTCGAGAGCGAGCCGGTAACCAGCGGAGTGGGCGAGGACACCCTGACACAGACGCCGACACTGCTGGCATGGATATCCGGTGAAGGATACTGGCATCTGGGAGGACACCCTCCTGCATCTCCTGCTCCTCCTGCTCCTCCTGCTGCTGCTACTCCTCCTCCTCCTCCTCCTCCTCCTTCTCCTCCTCCTCCTCCCTCCCTTCCTCCCTCCCTACCTACCTCCCTACCTCCCTACCTCCCTACCTCGTTTCTCTTCAACATGCCGTCGGGTGAGCCCGTGGCGTCAGCCCCTTCCCCTCCCCTTCCCAATCCTCCTCCCCCATCCTCATCTCCTCCTGCTGCTCCCTGCACCCCTCTTCCTTCAGAACAACTCGTCCCTGTCACTAGACATGTCCGTAGGCTGGGCGGGCTAAGGCGGGGCGTTTCGCATAAGGCTTCCTTACACATTACGATCCTGAGGCAGAAAGGCTCCAACAGCTTCAAATATTGACGGCCGGTCGTTTCCAGAATGCGGCTCCGCGCACATTCGTCTTGAAAGCTTCCACCACCTGCAAGGATGGAGGGCGAATCCTTGTCAGAACGGGGTTCGTGCTTGAGACTGCCGCGATTTTGAGATTTTGAAGACTAGATTGGCGTTTCTTTATGTTCGGCGATGACGGGCGTCATGGGGGGGGGGGAGGGCGGGGGGGGGTATGACGTGACGCCCCCCCCCCCCCCGTGTGGCTCCGGCACCACAGCCGCGCCCGCGCGCACGACGCGACGAGCGACGAGCGACGACGACGACGCGAGCAGCATGTAAGTGGCGATCTGCCCATTGCGCCTATGTACACCACAACGCTCGCGTGCACCACACCGCGCGTGTGCACCACAGCGCCTGCGTACACCGCAGCAACCGTGTGCAGCGCACCGCCCGCGTATACCACAATACTTGGGAGCACTACAGCGCCGGTGTACATACACCGCAGCAGCCATGTGCAACACAACGCCTGTGTACACCACAGTGCTTGCGTGCACCGCAGCGCCTGTGCACGCCACAGCGCCTGTCTACACTACAGCATCCGCGTGCAACGCAGCGCCGGTGTACACCACAGTGCCTGCGTGCATAGGACAGGTAGAAGGAGCATGTGCGTCAGGATCTGATGCGGACAACTAAACGTCACGCCGGGAAAGTTTTGATAATCGAATGCGACGTTTTCCCCTCCTCCCTCCTCCTCCACCTCCTCCTCCTCATCCTCCTCCTTCTCCTCGTCCTCCTTTTCCTCCTTCTTACCCCCTGTCGTTCGGCTTGGCGTTACAACGCGCGTGCACATCTTAGCGTACACCGCAGAATGGTCGATTGAATCGGTCCACTTGGTTCTCGGACGGCCAGTTTAGCTGGAGCTTCCTGGACGCAAATGGGAGTTAGGGTGATGCGGGAGGACTCGGGGGGACTCGTAGATTCCAGCGGCGCTCCTTTGTCCATGAGAATTTGTTTTCCATTGTTTTCTCTGGAATCCACACGCGCTCCATTTTGTCATAAGGATTACTTCTGAAATTCTATACACAACAATGGTGTTGTGTTGCACACGGCTGATGTGGTGTACACAGGCGCCGTGGCGCACACAGGCACTGCAATGCACGCAGGCATTATGGTGTACACTGGTGCTGTGTTGCGCACGGCTTATGTGGTGTACGGAGGCGCTGTGGTGTACACAGGAGCTGCTGTGCTCGCAGGCACGGTGGCACAAACTGACGCTGTGTTGCACGCGGCTGCTGTGGTGTACATCGGCGGTGTGGTGTACACAGGCGCTGTGGTGCACGCGGGCACTGTGATGTACACAGGCGTTGTGGTGCATATCGCCACCTACATGTTCGTGCTACCCGTCCTCCGCCATTCCTAACCATTCGCAAACGCCGCCGGCGCGAAACGTGACGTCATCGACCCCCTCCCCCCCCAAATGATTGCCGTCATCGGCCCAGACTTAAAAACAGGCTCCAGCCGCGTCCGCGCGCACGACGACGATGAGCGACGAGCGACGAACCACGAGCGACGACGACGAACGACGACGACGACGAACGACGACGACGACGACGACGACGACGCCTGCGGACCAGACACCTATGCGGATTCCTACGCGGACACCTACGCGGATCCCAATGCGCACGGCGGCAGTGCCCGGAACGCACTGGGGGGGGGAGCGTTACGTCATAGGGGGGGGGAGCGGGGGCCATGACGCCCGTCATGCCCCAAGCAATCAAGAAATGGCTTCTAGGAGTTTAAACATGTGTAACAGCTGCACGGATGGAGGATTATTTTCACCAGGGGACTCTCGCCGGAGACTTCTTCAAACTTGGTAGCCAGACGTGTACATTTGCGCAACAGGTACACGAACGGGGGACGGTTCCTTTTCAATACGGGGCTCTCGCAGGATCCATCGCGGAACTTGATGATCGAACCTTTTTGCACTCGTTCTCACGTGCTAGAAGGGCTCAAAGCAGTCTCTGTTCCAGGCGGGGTTCTCGCCTGAATGGCAAGCCCGCGGTTAGGATGCTCGTCTTTCTGAAGAGACGAGCCCTGCAGTACAAGGAAGCGCGCGCAGGAGGGGAGCGGTATCGGGGGCCAGGGGTCGGGGATCGAAGGCCGAGGACCGAGGACCGAGGACCGCAGACCCAGGATCGAGGATCGGCGGGGGGGGATCCAGGTTCGAGGGTCGAGGGCCGAGGCTGGAGGCTCCAGGATCGAGGCGAAGGATCGAGGAGGATCGAGGAGGGGGGGGGGATCAGGCTTCGAGGGTCGAGGCGCGAGGCTTTCTCGACGCACTGGGCTTTTGGGCGGTGCCGAGGCGGAGCGCCCTGCGCCCACCCGAGGAAGCACGGCGCCGCACGGCGCGGGCGGGCACAGGCCGTGGGGACGGGCGGCAAGGGCCGGGCGCGGCGAACGGCGGGCAGCAGGGAACGGGCGCCAGGGGCTGCGGGCGCCAGGGGAGGAGGAGGAGGAGGAGGAGGAGGAGGAGGAGGAGGAGCGCACGTCCCATGGGAGTGCCGTCAGGTTACCGACGAACGAGAGCCGCATGCCGTATTGAAAGGTGGTGGTCGTAGCTGCCGAGCTGCGATGGGGTTACTGCAAGCTCGGCGCGGACCTTATGGAAGATAGAGTACGCTAAACTGACGAGGTCGTGGGCAGTCTCGATCGTGAGATCGGTGCCGCCATATTCCTCCTCCGTCCCGAGGCCGAGCCACAGGAAGGGGGGGACGGTAGGGATATGCAAGCGGGGCAAGGCAATGAGGTGAGGAGGAGGAGGAGGAGAGGAGGGACGAGGAGGAGAGGCAGGAGGGGGAGGAGCAGGAGCAGGAGGAGGAGGGGGGAGGAGGAGGAGGGAGGAGGAGGAGGAGGAGGACGAGGAGGCGGAGGAGGAGGAGGAGGAGGAGGAGGAGGAGGACAGGAGGAGGAAGAGGAGGAGGACAGGAGAAGGAGGAGGGGGAGGAGGAGGAGGAGGAGGAGGAGGAGGAGGAGGAGGAGGAGGAGGACAGGAGGAGGAGGAGGAGGAGGAGACTCTGGAGACTCTGATAACAGACCCTGTCCCCTCGCTAGTGCTCCCTAGGGTGGCGCGGCTGCCACTTCCGCCACCTGGGAGCCCTCGTCCCGTGCTAGCCAAACGCCGCCGACGCGTGCACCCCGAGCGCACTCCCGTCGCCAAAGGGCGGCCCCCGTCTCAGGGTTTGGCTGCTGTCACACGCGCGGCCTCCCGAACAAGGCGACCGCCACGTATCCTCTGTCCAGGGGTTACGCTTGCTTGAACCGACTGCTGGCCTAGTCAGTGGGCCTAGGCCCCGAATCGTAGGCGTACTCCGCGACTTCATGTAAGGCCTGCTCTGCCTTCGCCAACTGCTCCTGGAGGTCCTGAACGTTGACTGTGGCCGCCAGCACAAGAGCCGTGAGGTCCGTGCTGCTGGATCGGCTGGCGCAGCTGCTGTTGCGCGGTGAGTTCGACCAACGTCTGACCCGCCATGGCGTGGAGTTTCTTCTGCTCCTCCTCCGCGCGGGATGCGAGGATGCCCAGCTGCAACTGGACCTCACCCTGCAGCTTGTCGAACTGCTGCTGGATGCCGAATACCTCCCCAGCAAGCTTATTATGGAGCTTCTCTTGGGTCTCAGGCTGCCCGTGCCGACCTCCTCCACCTGGACCTGGAGGATGGCTCAACGCCTGCGCCACGTGCTCGAGCGTCCTGTCGGGGTGTGCCACCGCCCTGCGCCCCTTTACTGCACGCCTCGGCTCTGCGCGCCAACTGTTTCTGGCCGCGGTGCATGAGCTCCTGCGGGATGTCCTCGGCATTATGCATCTTCTCGTCCTCCTTGTAGTTCAAGGCGAGACCTGCAGACCTGCACAACTCCTCAAAATGCGACAGGATGGAACAGTCCTTGCTGTAGCCGTACTGCTTCTCTCCATCGCCGACTGCGGCTGTCGCTGCCTCTGCGACCGCGACTTGCAGTAGACACTCCCTGAGGGCCCTGCGTACCCCCAAGGTGCAGCATACCGCACGGAGCACTGCCGCAAACTGTTCCCCTGCCATCGCCATGCGAGGGACCGCGCTTGCGGGGGAACCGAGCCTTGAGCCGAAATGGTTATGGCAGGAGGACGAGGAGGAGGAGAAGAGAGAGAGAGAGAGCCACCACTGCGGACAGCTGTCCGGGCCTGCTCGAGACCTGGTGGAGGAGGCCGTAGCCTCTTCAAGCCTGCACGTATGGACTACACGCGATCATGCATATGGACGGCGAGACAGTAAAAACAAATCT